ACTACAACTTCCTACTCGGCCCAGATTTCAAACAAATGACAATCCTCCCGCTTCGCTCCACCACACTGAGCAAACCCTTCTAGCTGAGCAGGAGGCGTTGCTTTCTCAGTCTTCACTGAGAGGACCACCCGCAGGCCACTCCACACCTGAGAATGGAATTGGTACCAAAGGACAAGAAGATGTCTCAAGCTTCCCTTGGGATTCCAGGGAGCTGGGAAAGGCGGGGCAAGGTGTCTCAGACCCATGCTAAGAAACCTGAAGCAGTGGCTCCCATCTAACCCCAGGCCCCTTGCAAAGAAGCACACAGAGGCTCTCGGCTAATTGGCCTACAGTCTGCAGAGCCTACGAAACAGGAGAGATCCTGCTTCAAAAACAAGGTGAAAAGAAAGAACGGGTTCCCAAAAGTTGTCCTGACCTCACATGCATATCCATTTTCCTCTCCCTCTTCCTTGCTCTCTTTTTCTTTTTCACGAACACTATTTTTTAAAAACAGATTCCAAGGTGCAGGTACCGTTGGAATCTTACTGCTTAGGAAAGGGCTCTATGTAAGGAATTTAGGATCCTTGCTTAAGATCCTTTTTTGTAGATCAGAATACATGTTATTAAAAGGAAATTATAGAAAAGGCTATCATGAATCATAATCATTTTTTAAAGAAATGTGTGTTCAGGAGAAACAAGTATATTCTATATGATTTCCTGACATAGCCTTTGGGTGAAACTCTACCTTCCAAATACACAATCCTGTTTGAGACAATCAAGGCAAGCATGCATTTCCACTACTGTCTGGAGTTCTGCCTCATAGAAGGCTGTAAAAGAAACTTTTATTCACCTGGTTCAGTTGTTGTCTGGAGGCTTACTGCCTCTGTCTGCTAACCTAGGCCTAGTCCTGGAAGCTTCCAGTCTTGGTACAATCTAAGCTGGGTCTAGAACATCTTCAGCCTCTGAGACTTACTGCTTTATAATCTCATCCTGTCTTGTTCTTTCTGAGCACTGGGCTGGCTGGATCAACTCAGCTGTTCTGGTTCAAACTCCTCTCTCAGCTGACTTATTCAATGTGGCTTCTCTCTTGGCCTCTGAATTGCTCTACTTGGCCACAAACTCCAGCAATCTGGCTTGTTCTCTCTTCACCTGTGTCTAACTTGCTCTCTCAACCACTCTCTGTAAGACTCTCCTGGTAAAACGACCTCCTCTCTCTCTGTATCCCCCCCCCCCCAAGTAGCTTCCCTTCTCGTGAGATTTAGGTATATCCTATTCTGTCAAATCTTCTCTTGTTCTGCCACTCAATTAGACATCACTTTCAAACATGGGTGCTTCCTTCTACAGACTAACTTTACCTCCATTGTTTGGGATTAAAGGCTTGTACCACCATGCCTGGACCTAAGCTTTTCTTTACCTGAAACGTACTCCATAACAGGCTGGCCTTGAATTCAGATCCGCTTACCTCTGCCTCTTGGATTAAAGGCGTGTTTATATTCCAGCCAGATCACACAGACCTAAAAGGTCATTGGATGGGATCTCTTGCCAGAGCAGCCATGTTCTAAATTAAAATTCCTCTATAGAAGGCACATGGGAACTCTGAAACTGCCTGTTAGCTTGGTGACAACTGAGCAAAGGGAACCAACTAACCAGTGCCAACAGCCCAAAGCACAGGTTCAAAGCACAGCTTTGCTTTCTAAGTAAAACTGTTCATAGAAGGGGCATAGTAGAACAGAGTGTGGCAGGCAAATATTTGCCCACATAGAAAACAAACAAACTTATTTTAATTAAGGTTTCAATTAACAGTAGGAATTTCTCTAGTAAGATTATTTTTACAATAATAACGAGTTTTTATGTAGACCTTTAATTATCATATTAACATTCTACTAAAAGCAAATCTCATACATGTATTACATACAGATACATATTATAGACACACACATATGTATGTATTTCTGAAATTCTCAAACAAATGAATAGACAGGTCAGGTTCTTCTTTTCCTTTAAGACTAAGGTTATGGGATCAGGAGAGCCATATAGAATGAGTTTTTCTCTGTTTTTCTTACCCCACCAGGTGCTAAGAAAGGGGGACACCAGCTCTAGGGGTTCCCATCAGCTCTGTAGTCAGTAACTTGCCCATTCCAGGGTAGACACAACCAACCTGAAGTAAACGTTTTTAGTTTACATCTAAAGGTGACCCATAGGTGGCAGGTGGAAACCCCAAAGCCACACTTTCCAACTCAGAGGTATGGTTCTAGCTAACTGGGAAACAATCAGCTTGCAGGAAGGCCTCCTACTGGCTTCCTGCGCGGGGCTTTTGGTCCCCGGGACTCTGTATCCTTAGTCCAGTGGGCTGATGATGCCTGCATCACTGTAAATCTACAGGACTCATGAACTGGCAATCCATGGAGCATAACACCCCTTCCCCGTTCTGAAACTCCAGACCTCAAGGTGGAGGAGTAGAGGATCAGCCAGAGGCAGTGTCGGCCTTCCTCAGTACCACCTCTCTGCAGGAAGCTCCTTTCCAGCATCCCTGGCAATGACCACAGCCTGTCCCTGCCTGGCCTCCCTCCCTGCTTCCTCTCCTGTCCACCTGCCTTCCTTCCCTATGGGACATATCTCACCCAACCTTGAAGTCAGAGGGAGACTTGAGGCCAGTCCTCTAAGGAACACCCCCACCCCCACCCCCACCCCCGGTTGCTCTTCAGATCCCTGTACCTCTGCACACTCCCTTCAACACACACACGATGTCCTTCCGGCCTTTACCTAGTTCACCCTGGTGTCGGCACATCACCACTGCTATTCCTTTCGCAGACACAAAATTCTCTCCAAAGAGCCCACCATCCTCTGCAGGGGCCGATCTAGGCCACTCACTCAGTCTGACTCCTCACTGAGTGGCTCTGCACCCACACTGGCCCCAGAGCCCTTCTCTGGACCCTGGAAGGTGGATCGTACCCGCGGATCTGGCTTGGGCCTCCTTGGACCTGGGACACCGAGGCCGGGCTCCTTCCCTGTAGGTGAGCTTTAGCACCACAGCTCCACACCAGCCAGGAGGCTCCACGCACACTGCCACACTGCCTTCTCTCCCGGACCTAGCTTGCAGCTGCTGCTCATGGCTATGGGTCTGGACACCTCCCTGTGGAACTTCGGAGGCCAGTCCAGTCAGCCAGCTCTTGAATCAAATACCCTGAGACGCCAGTGTGCAGCCCTGTAAGGACCTGGCTGCCTGTCACTCGGCTTGCTACCTGTCACTACTGTTTCGGTTTCACATTCTACATTGTACCTATCTTTTCTATACCCTCAGATTCCACAAGTACAGGTTAGGGCAATTTAGAATAATCCTTTTTTCATAGAGAAAAACTGCACCAGCAAGAATAGGCACACCCCCTTCCTTCCTGTCCTTATGATAAAAGCCAGCGTAACATGATAAACGTGCAGCATTTACAACCTCTTGGTATCATATGTAGCCTAGAGATGAGTTAAAGCACACGGGAGGATGTGCATCTGATATGTGCAAGTACCACTCTGCTTCACACAGGAAGTTTTGCCGGGCATGGACTTTAGTAGCAGATGGGTGTCCTTGAGCCAAGAATCCACTAAGCACACAGAGGAACGGCTGAGCTTCTTTCTTACGGTGTGTCCAGCTGACTCCCTCCAGGACCCACTCCGCAAACACAACAAGCTTGGCAAACTCACCACTCCTTCCTCTGAGCCTGAAACCGCATCTGGAAGCCAGCGTCAATCATCAGTAAGACCCCCCTGGTCCTTCCAGAGACGATCACTGCTCACTTGACTCACAGCAGCCAACTCCTTCCTTCCTCAGGCTCTGCCCCCTGAGCCCTCCTCCTCCCTGGTGGCCTTCTGCGGCAGCTGAGATTTACCTTTTCTCTTTCCCTCAATAAACATGTCAGCAAAGCTTTCAGCGCTTGGCGCTGGGTCCATATGTCAATGAGCTGCAGCTGAAGGTCGATGCAGGAGAAACACCGCTGTGTCTTGGTTATTTATAATTTATATGCCCATTTACTTTCAGAAAGGATTTACAATGGCCGTATAAGCTTCCGGACATCCTGTGCAGAGCAACAGTTGTCACAGTGCAGGGGACCCCTCGTCTCTCTCCGCAGGCTAACCTCTGGCCAGCACTTCAAACCTCTTTTAGGGATTTCAGGCTCCCCCAAAGCAAGATCAGTTCACTGTGAGATTGCACTTGCTTGGGTGCTTGGTAATTCATAAATTTTGTGGAAAAAATCTCGGAACAGCAGTGTCTAAGGCTCTGTCCACTTGAGCAGCTACTCATGTCTACATTTAGAAGATTCTGTTGTGGGGCTGTTCTGGGGTCGGAGGATACAGCAGAGATTAAAATTGCATTTTTGCCTTCAGGACTAACAAGCTAGTGCTGGACCCCAGGAAGAATTATCACCCGAAGTGGCCTGGGGGGCTGTACCTTGCCCCTGGGGGTTTAGCCCCTTGCATTTACTCAGTAGAGGAGGGGTTCACCTCATTCATTGGGAGGATGGAGGAAACAGACATGACTCACTGTTCATAAATAGGACTACGCTCCGCATTCTCAATCTGCACTATTGGAAGAAAAGCCAGTGTTTGGGTGAGGATCCTGGTTGCTCATTATCTTGCGGTTGATTGGCCAGTTTTGGTTGAACGGTGCTGGCGGAGAGGAAACCTTTTCGTAAGCCTTTGGGATATTTAGTTCCTTAAAGCGGCGACACATCACCATCAGGGACACTCAGTACGTTGGGAGTTGTTCCTTCCCCGCCCAAACCCACACAATTTTGACACCGTGGGAAGGAGAGGGGGAAGGTATAAATAACCCACCACGGCAGTGGGGAGAAGGAACTGATGTCAAATCTTCAGTGACCCTGTAGAACGCGTTCTGGACCACGTAGGCGGTGCACAAGGAAGCCCGACCCCAGAGCCAGCGACCCCTAATGCACGGCTGCGGCCCGTCCCCGCCCCGGCTGCGCCCCGCAACAAGTGTCCGCCCTCTGCCCCGACGGCGGCCAGGTCCTCACCCGGTACAGGCCGTCCACGAATACGCGCGGGTCCAGGTGGCAGGCGATGGTGGCGCTCGGCAGGTCTTGCAGATCCACCTCCTCCATCTCGCAGTCGATGAAGCTCCAGTCGCCGCCGCCCTCGTCCGCCTCGGCAGCCGCAGAGAAGGGCGCGAAGGGCCGCAGAGTCACCCGGTGGGGCGCCCGCGCCTCGACCGCCTCCACCTTCCCGAACCGCGACCCCGCCACGCCGTCCTCCATGCCCGGCGCTCACTCCCCCGCTCGCCTGGGCTCCGCGCCGCGGCCGCCGGCTCCCGCTTCACCCTCTCGGGGTCACCGCGGCGCCCGGACGACGCCTGCCAGCGCCCGCCCAGCTCGCCTCCGCCCTGCGCGGGAGGGGCCGCCAGCCCGCGTCTGCCGGCCTCCAACCGCAGATCTGCGGAGCGCAGGAGCGTTCCCTTTAAGGTCGGCCCGCTCGGGTCATTAAGTCCCGCCCTCCTCGTAAACTAGACCAATAATATGACAGAATTTTGTCACGTGAGACCATTCCACCGCCCTAAGCCTGAAGCCTCGGGGCGGCCATATTTTTTAGGGGCAGAGGCCTCTCGCCAGTTCTGCTGTTCTGACAGCTGGCAGTGCCTGTTGAAGGACACTTGTCCGGTGTTAGCCCACGGGACAGTAATCCAGGAGGCAGCGCTTCTGCGGTTCCCACGCAGCGATGATTGAAAACACATCAGCCAACTTTGGAAGACTTAAACGAAATCTAGTTAGATGTTCTGTGCCGAGATACTTAGTATTGTATATTACCACGGAGTCACAAGTAAGGTTTGAGCAACACCATGATAGGGGCTTACGTTTATACTTCAACTTATCGGTCATTATATCACTGTCCAATTCTTAGATAATTTAACACAAAATAATGGGTTTCAACAGTATAGTTTCACGCATATATCATATGTGCATGTATACACAGATACTGTATTTTGCTCACATCTGTCTCCCATTGCCCTTTCCCCCATCCTGCTGACCAACTCTTTTTACTCTAAAAACTTTCCTTTCTGCTTTGGTGTCTTAAAAAAAAATCACTGTGTGTATCAGTTCAGTGTTCTGTCACTGTTATAAAACACCATGACCCAGGCAACTTATAAAACAGTTTATTAAGAGTTTGATATAGGGTTCCAGAGAGACAAGAGTCCATTGTGGTGGGAAGACCATGGCAGTAAGTAAAATAGGCATGGTAGCCGGAACAGGAAGCTGAGAGATCTTGTTTCATCCACAAGGGACAGTGAACTAGAAATAAAGTGAGGCTATATAGTATCAAAGCCCGGTGATCACACTTCCTCCAGTAAAGCCAAACTTCCTAAACCTTCCCCAGACAGTGCCAGCCAGGGACCAAGTGTTCAAATGCCTGAGCCCACAGAGGACACTCCTCATTCAAACCATTGTATCGAGTAGGACAACCTAGTAGGTTTTCACCCCAGCGTCTGGCTCCTGAGTCTTCATTGGTAAAATCGAACGATTTGGGATTTTCTGTTTCTATAACAACAGACATTGTCACTCCTATGGTGGACCTTGGAGACATGATGCCCATGAAAGACACCACTCACAAAATGTCATATATTCCGTGTATATAAAATTAGGCAAATATGCAGAGACAAAGAATAATAGCTCAGTGGTTGCCAGGGGCTGATGGGAAGGAAGCAGGGAATGACTGCAGATGAGTCTTTTTTTTTTTTTTTTTTTGAGGAATGATGAACAAGTAAAACTGATTGGTGATGATGTCTGCCTGAGTCCTTGTATATTGGAAAAAGTGCTCTGTTGCGCTCTAAAGGGTAAATCTTATAGCATGCGCTGTCTCAACATAGCCAGTGGTTTCAGAATAGAATGTGATAAAGGCCCTGTGGGATTACATGAAGTTCAACAGAGAGGATGACATCACAGAATCAAACCCTCCGGCCATCCCCAGCCAGACGTTCTGAAGAGGGTAACAAAGTGAGTGAGGCCCAGTTTTGGAAAAACAACACCCAGCCAAACAGTTGCTGGGTGGGTCTGTTGTTTTCATCCTTGGCCCAGAGCACTGTTTCATGGCTGGCTTACTCTAAGCCATTTGTGGCACACAGAGTGGGCCTAATGGGCAAAGAATGTGAGGGGACATAACACACCATGGAGACAGAAACCCAAGATGTGGGCAAGCATGCCATCACAGCTAGCTTCCTGTGGTGGCTCTGAGGCAGGAGAGTCAGGGACAAACTCGGGCAAGTGGCAAGGACAAAGCCATCTGTAATTAGCTTCAGAGTGCTGCTGGTCTCTGCTAAGATGTGAATGAAGAACATATCTGCCTCATCCTCCCTGAGCAGCCAAGCAGAGAGAGAGAGCGGTGGTTCAACCAAGTCCATTTCTCCAATGGCAGCATGGGTTGTTCCAGCTCCCGAGGAGGCCAGAAAAAGGTACGGGATCTCCTGGAGTTGGAGTGACGGACAGTTGTGAGCCTCCTAGTGTAGGTGCTGGGAACCGAAAAAGCAGCAAGGACTCTTACCTCTAAGAAATCTCTTCAATCCCAAAGAGCTTTTTTTTTTTTTTTTAATGTAATATGTTATGGGTATGTCTCGCTCCTGAAGTTTCCTGTGCATCCATCAAATGGCTTTCCCTCAAGCAAACAGCCAGCAGGCAGCAAGGCAGAAGGCAGCCATTCTCATGCTATCTTTGCCTTTGCTTCTACAGCTAAAATAGGAAGGATCCAAAGAAACATGGGGAAAAAAGTAGGGAAGGGGGAAAACAGGCAAAAGGGAAGGAAGAGATAAAGAGCGGAAAGAGCGAAAGTAGGGAGCAGGAGTGATGAACCTAAGAGAAAGTTCAGCCTCCCTCCACACAGGCTGCTCTACAGGACACACCTGAGCCAGCTCCTATGGGATCGTGTAAGACAGAGCCTCTTAAATTCCAAGCCAAAGCGCCATGTACAAGTAGGATTAGCGCCACGCCTTCCACACCTGGGTCGCCAGAATTCTTGCCTCCCATAGGTAGCATGTTCAATGATAAAATGTCCCACTTCCCTCTGCATTTAGAATATAGCATTTTACAGTCCCTGGACCATGATGAAGCCTTTCAAACTCAAGCTTAATTAAGCTGTGCCTTATGCTTTCAGCGGCGCTATCAGTATCAGCAATCAACAGCTGCTCCCAAAGAGGTCAAAATAGACAATGAAAGCTGTCGACAGCCGAGGCAGAAGTGAAGCATGACACATCCCTGGAATAAATATAACCATGGCCATTTCTGAAGGGAAATCAACTGAACTTGGAGGCAACCTTTTCAGAGAGCGCGCCACCATAAAGCCGGAGTGACTCCCCTGGCACCCTTCAAGGCTTGTTAACTGTAGCCCTTTTAGAGGCTGCAACAACAGAACCTCAGATCTGTCTTGTGTCTTTCTCATCAGCACCAGACTTGGGAAAGAAAGCAGAAGAGGTGAAGAGCAGCTCACATTCATTCAAGTGGAGTGGGGGTGTTCTCTCGCCTTCCTCCCTGTATGCTGCTTTATGTCAGCCATGGCAATTACCCAGTAGAAAAGGAAAGGAGGCTCAGATCGCCATCTTGGCATATGCTCACTTCTAGCACCGCCTCTTCCATTCCTGCCCCGCCCGCCATTGTGCAGAGGTGCCCACGAGGGATGAGCCAGCCTTTCCATTCTCCCACACCTCTAGGTGCTTTCTATTCCACTCTGGAGGTTGAGCGGCCTGTGTGCCGAAGACCTTTGTTGAATGTCTACTACATGAGCCAATGACGTTCCTGCAGGGTCTGAGAAATTACAAACATTTTCAAATATTACTTAGCATAGAAGAAGGTAAATTGCTCACTTTTTGAGTGTTCCAGAGATTGCTCAAACAAGACTCTTTTGAGTTTCCTAGTTTGTTACTACACACAAACAAATGAACCGAAATATCAGGCAATTGTTTTCTGTTTGTGTTTTGCTTTGTTTTATTTACTCATTTTTTTCTTCCATCTGTGTGTGTAAACACACAGTGTGTATATATGTGTGTGTATGAAAGTTACATGTGTGCAGCTCACATTAGTCTACATGCACAGGGTTTACTTAGATGTAGAGGTCCTCCAGTCATTCCTCCATATATGCATCGAGGCAGGCTCTCTCAGTCCAACCCGGAGCTTGCAGACTTGGCTAGTCTCCATAGCCAGCTTCCTCTGGGGATCTGCTGATTCTCTGAAGCTGGAATAGCCACAGGCCCATCCAACACTCACGGATTCTGGGGATCCAACATCTGGCCTGCATTCATACAGCTCAAGCAGTTTAAGCACTGAGCCAAGTCTCCAGCTTCTTGCTTTGTTTTTACAGAAACATTTTTCTTTCTTAAGGTTTGTGTTAGTTACTTTTCTATTGCTGTGAAGAGACACCATAACCACGGCAACTCTTATAAAGGAAAACATTTCATTGGGGCTGGCTTAGAGTTTCAGAAGTTTAGTCCATTATCATCATGGCAGGAAGCATGGCAGCCTGCAGGCAGACTTGGTGCTGGAGAAGGAGCTGAGAGTTCTACATCTTGATCTACACGCAGCAGCAGGAGACTGTGAGCCCTTAAAGCCCCTACACTGGGTGTAGCCTGAGCATCTGAGCCCTTAAAGCCCCACCCCCACAGGGACACACTTCCTCCAACAAGGCCACACCTCATAATGGTGTCACTCCCTATGGGCCAAGCACTCAAACACAAGTCTATGGGGACCCTTTCTAGTCAAACTACCACTCTTCACTACTATTCTTTCTTAAAAGTCATTCCTTAAAAGCTCAGGTGGTTTTGACAATCTCCCATCATATAACTCAGGGGAAATACATTCATAAATTCAGTTTGGAGAAATTATTGGGTTTTGAGTATTTAAAGTGAGAGAAAAAAATCGTGAAATTGTTCTTCTGGGAACCTGAAATATTGAATGGAGAGTGAGTTTCCCCACACACACAAAGGTGGTATAAGTTGTGCACTAGGGGATATGCACGTCTAACATAACAAGTATATGCATAAGGCTGTAATATATGCATGCACATTAACAGAGGTGAACCAATATATAACATTTACAACAAGTCACAACAGTTATTACCTACAGGGCCTGGTATGTGCTAGACATGCTATGGCATATAAAAATATGTTCACACATCAAACATGAATATGAAAATTTGTGGCTAGCATGTAGTAACATTGTTATGTTATATACACTAAAAATGCAAAATTTTAAACACATCTAGTATGAACAATCTCTGTTGCTTCTACTCTATTAATAAGTTTAATGCCTGCTATAAAACATATATTATAATA